AAAAAATGAGAATACTTGGCTGAAAATTCTGGAGGACTTCCGAACACGTGTGTAAAAACTAAAAAGAAAAAGAAAAAGCATGTTAATGTTCAGAAATTGAGTATATATTGCCTTGGGGTTCTTCAAACGAATAGTGCCTAGAGAATTTATATAAATAAAATGATTGAGGGATTTGAAAAGAAATTTCAAATCTGGTATTCTCCTTTTAAGTTGTATTTGGAGAGATTGTGGAGATTTCAAATGACTCAAATTGGAGTTTTTTCAAATCTTTCTTCTACTTCCCTAAATCAAATATTTCCAAATCAAATCCTTCCATCAAAATAGACCCGAATATAATTAGGGCAAACTGCAAAAATATATATGTTAATGAAACTTCATTAAAAAAGATAGGGTTAGAGACAAAAACACCCATGTACTATGGACTTTGTATTATATACCCATGTATTACACATAAATACAAAAACTTCCCTACCATTACATTTTTTCCAAAATCAGATGAAAATACCCCTACTAAAGCTTATATATAAGGGCTTGTTTGAGTCATTTTCCACTATATGTTTTAACATTTCCATTCAATTTTACTTGGGAAATTTTGGTATTTTTATTTTTTACTCAAAAACATCTAATTGCTTGGATTTTTTTTTTTATTTTATGTATAAAACATTTTATTCTCGACTAGCACAATCATAATCCACTACCACTATATCTACTAGCCCAAATTTCATTTCAGGGGACAATTTTTCTTTAAAACCAGATGATCCTAGTGCTGAAGTTGAACAAGAGTGTTATGAGATACTTCCGATAAATAATGGCGTAGATACTATAGATGTTATTGATGGATATTCTTTTTATTTATATTTATGCATGTTTAATTAATTTTGAATTTAATTCATTTACATGCACATATGTAGAGTTTAGTTCATATTTATGCATCTCGTCATTTAATTTATATTTATGCATGTTTAATTAATGTAGATCTTATTTCCTTTTTAATTTATATTTATGCATGTTTAATTTATGTAGATATTATTTTCTGTTCAGGTGACCTAGGTGTTTACGATGTCGGAGAAAGGTAAGGACAGGGCTACTGTTATGGAGTTTGATGATAAGGGTATTCCGGTTGAGCCCGGGAGGACAAAATTGGTAAATGAGCTTGCTAAACAGGTTACACATTGTGACCTCTTTAATCCGTGTATTTCATGGCCCACACACAAAAAGGATGGACGTGTGGATGAATTTTGGGCACGATTCAAGGTAAATGGTATTAAAATTCTCGTATAACAATCGACAAAATTATTGTTTCAAATTACCTAATTTTATTTTTATTTTTCTTAGGATAAATATAATCTTCCCGATAATGATGCTACAAAGAAGTGGTTCAACAAGACTACAAATGCTCGTTGGAAGGACTTCAAGTCTAGGGGTTTAAAGGCACATTTTGATCGCATGCCCGACCCCGAAACTGCAAGACAAACTCGTCCGGAGGGATTTATTAGCAATGATTTATGGGGTCAATTGTGCGATCAATTTATTGCTATGAATGAGTCAGAGAGTGATGGGAATGAAATTTGTAATTCTTATTAATTAATATCATTATATGATTTATGCATTGCATCAAAATATAGTAACTTATGTGCTATTATTATTAGTCCAAATCTCAAAAATGCCGCGAAGCACGAAAGTCAATTGCAACCGAACACCATTGGGGCCGAACTAGTATCACCGGTTGGTCTCATAAACATGTAAGTGATCTTGTATATGTGTGATTGTATATATTTTAAGATTTATTATAAGGGTGTAATTACTTTTATATTATTTATACAGATTCTGAAATTTGGCAAGGTTCCTACCGTGGCAGCTAAATTCAGAAAAGACTACATAAGCATCGGTGCATTAAAGGAATCGGAGACTTTACTTGTTGATGGTTGTGATAGTGAGATTGGTGGGGGTGATGGTGAGCGACAACTAGATCAGACAGGAAAGCCCGAACTACGTGCCATTGCAGTAAGTTATTATTTTAGTTGTATTGATGCTTTATTTGCTATTTTGAACATGTTTGGGTGGTATTGCAGTTGATGGATTATGGATTTATTCCGTACTTAGGTATCGATGAATTGTGTAATGTAGTTGGTGGATCTTTACGTGAATTGAGCAATTGTGTATATTGAGTTCTCTAATGAAGTTGATGCTTATTTTTGTTGAATTGTTATTTTATTTTCTAGTTGAGCATATTTTGGTTGTTAATGTAGTTGGTCAATCTTTATACATGAATTATTGTGTTTTTGTTTATTGAACATCTTTGGGTTGAGCAATGTAGTTGGTATATTTACATATGTTACGTTGGTTGTTTAATGTAGTTGGTCGATCTTTATATATGAATTATTGTGTTTTTGTTTATTTGAACATCTTTGGGTTGAGCAATGTAGTTGGTATATTTATATATGTTGGTTGTTTATGTAGGTTGTTTAATGTAGTTGGTCGATCTTTATATATGAATTATTGTGTTTTTGTTTACTTGAACATCTTTGGGGTGAGCAATTTAGTTGGTATATTTTTATTTGAATTATTATTTTATTTTATACTTCGTATCAAGTAATTAGTAATTAGTGTTAATACACTTTTTTATATTATTCAGGCGGATTTGGACAGAGTCTATCAAGAATGTATGTCTGATGGGAGTGATGAAAGCACCGCCAACACGATAGCTTGCGAACGAGTACTAGGAAAAACTAAGAGACTAGGACTTGGTTGTTCAAGTTCAAAGAAAGGGGCGAGGTCCAACTTAAAGAAGACAATCAGACTTTAAAGGACGAGATAAATCAAATAAAGAGTACTATTATAGCCATGGTCAAATATTTTAGGGCTCAAGGTGTCGAGTTCCATACCCAGAATCCACCCGGCGACGGCAACTAGTTTCCTCAACAACAATGGTTTTGGGTACTTTTATTTCATGTTTGGATGATTTAAGTTGTTATTTGGATTATCTTGTGTTTCAATAGAATTTTTGGATTATTTTGTGTTAGATGATTTTGTGTTTTGGAATGTTTCGATGATTTTATGTTTTGGAAGAATGTTTTGGATTATTTAATTTAAGCGAGTTGTTTAATATTTTTGTATATTTAATTATATTGGAATTGTTTGTTATTACATGTCAAATAAAAATTAAAATAAAAATCAGTAAAATGTTAAAAAAAAAATATTTATATATTTGCGACGTTCTTAGAATATTAGTCGCAATCGCAGAAAAAAAAAAAAAAAAAAAAAAAAAAAAAGCGACAATAGCTATATATTTGTCGCAATGTCTCAACAAAAACTGTGCGACTTTAGTTCAAAAAAAAGACGCAAAGCGAAAAAAAATTGCGACGAAATCTTTTCGGAAAATATAGTCGCAACACCTTTGCGACGATATATATGTGTCGCGGTTGGAAGACGAAATGGGCGACGTATAGTCAAATTTGTCGCAATAAATCAGCAGACGAAAAAATTACAACATTGCGACGGTTATAATAAATCGTCGCAAACAGTTGCGACTTTAACTGCAAAACGTCGCAAATATTTGCGACGGTCACTTTTTTAACTTTTTTCCCGCGAATTTCGACCCAAATTAAACGTCGCAAAATTACAAATTCCGTCGCAAAATTACAAATTCCGTCGCAAACGAGGTTTTTGCGTTGCAATAAAACGTCGCCTGAAATGCGTTATGGCGTAGTGATCTTTTAATTGTTATTATTATTTTTATCTCTTTTTTTTCCCGCCTATTTTCTCTAATTTTCTTTGCTTCATTTAATGATACATTTTTTATACTATGACTCCTCTAAACAAATGTCACATTATGACAATTAAGTTTATATATATATTTTTTAAATGAGTTTGTATTATTAAATTTGTATAAATGTTGATGTAGTTACCGATATCACTAATACATTTTATTATAATTTTTATTAAAATAATCATTATTTTTACTTTTGAAATGTTATCTCGTGCATTGCACGAAGAAAAATGTTAGTATTTATAATTGAAACACCTTTTCTAAGGTTTTTATAAATAGAAATTAGGAACCTTCATTTTTCATTTTGGAAAAATATTATATCATAACACATCTACTCTTGAAACATGTACTTATTTATATTTTTATAATTTTGCTAGGAAGTGTTATATGCTACATTGGGTTATTTACATCCGTGTTTGTTAATTAACTGGAAATGTAATTAAACATATATACACGTGACTGTGTATGATTATGTGCGGATTAACAAATGTCCGAAAAATAACCGGACCTAACTAGAATTGATCCATAGATTTTCCTAAGGGTGTTGCTATTTGCAGTAGTATTAATAATGAATACAGCGGAATCTCATTCATTTGATTTTTGATTTTATTTTTTCAAAATTGTATCTCCCTCTCCCAAACTCTCTCAACACATTCAACATCCGAAAAAACTTCAGCCTTCAATCCGTACCAAACGAGTCTCGACTCCGTTATTTTTTTTCATATCCTTATACTTTCAATCAATTTGATGTACACCTTAGGTAAAAACGCACGATTATGATTAGATCTAGGTAATTTTTGAAAAATAAAATAAAAATTGAATCCCCGTGCCCCACCCCTCCTCTTTTTTTGAGTTCTTACCTCGTAATTGTAATCCGGATCTGCCATTGAAGGAAGTGGTTGTTGTTGCTCGGCAGCAAATTTATCAAACGACCTTCAGATTCAAAGATTTCAATTATAGTTAGTTGAGTTAGAAAATTTGGAAAATGAGAAATGAGATTGTCGCTGCAAATAAATCAATTTCAGTAAAAATGTCGCTGCAATTAGCATTTCAGTTTTTGGGCAAAACCAAAAGCTTAACCCCACATTCCGGACGACGTGGCCGAACAAGAGCCACTTGAAAACATCCCAAATGAGTCCCATACATCTCAACACACTCTACTAAAGTTTACTTTACTCCTTACTCCAAACGGGAATTGACGATACAAACAAAGCAAAAATCTTACCCCCATTATCCTCAATCAATCTCCACCGTTCATTTCATCCCATCCTACGGCCCTCCCCTCCTCAAAATCCCCAAACCATATCCTACAAAAATCACTCCTAATTCACTCTTAAATCTTCACACCACCACACTCTCCACTCTCAGCCACTGATTCTTCAAGAATCTATCAACCCACCACCACCACCACCACCACCATGGCGGCTTCCATCGCCCTCAAAACCTTCATCGGCCTCCGCCAGTCCACGCCGGAGAACAATGCTATTGTTCTCTCCAATCCCACCGCCGTCGCCACCTCGCCCCGCCGCAGGCTCCGTATAAATGCCTCGAAGTCCAGCCCAAGGGTCACCGGCCGCAACCTCAGAGTGGCGGTGGTGGGTGGTGGCCCGGCCGGCGGCTGCGCGGCGGAGACGCTCGCCAAAGGGGGTATCGAGACGTTCCTCATCGAGCGGAAGATGGACAACTGCAAGCCCTGCGGCGGCGCAATCCCGCTCTGCATGGTCGGAGAATTCGACCTCCCGCTCGACATCATCGACCGGAGGGTGACCAAGATGAAGATGATCTCGCCGTCGAATGTGGCCGTCGACATCGGCAGAACCCTGAAGCCGCATGAGTACATCGGGATGGTCCGCCGCGAGGTCCTCGACGCCTACCTCCGGGAGCGCGCCTCCACCGCCGGCGCCACCGTGATCAACGGCCTCTTCCTGAAGATGGACCTCCCCCAGTCGAAGAACGCGCCGTACGTCCTCCACTACAGCGACTACAACACCAAGACCGGCGCCGCCGGCGAGAAGAAAACCCTCGAAGTCGACGCCATCGTCGGCGCCGACGGCGCCAACTCCCGCGTCGCCAAGGGAATCGGCGCCGGCGACTACGAGTACGCCATCGCCTTCCAGGAGCGAATCAAGATCTCCGACGACAAGATGAAGTACTACGAGGACCTGGCCGAGATGTACGTCGGCGATGACGTGTCACCCGATTTCTACGGGTGGGTGTTCCCCAAGTGCGACCACGTGGCAGTCGGAACCGGCACGGTGACCCACAAGGGGGACATCAAGAAGTTCCAAACCGCGACCCGGCTCCGCGCCCGCGACAAGATCGAGGGCGGGAAGATCATCCGGGTCGAGGCCCACCCGATCCCGGAGCACCCGCGGCCGAGGCGGGTACTCGACAGGGTGGCACTTGTCGGGGACGCCGCCGGGTACGTCACCAAGTGCTCCGGGGAGGGGATCTACTTCGCGGCCAAGAGCGGGCGGATGTGCGCCGAGGCGATCGTCGAGGGGTCCGAAAACGGGAAGCGGATGGTGGACGAGAGCGATCTCCGGGTTTACCTCCAGAAGTGGGACAAAACGTACTGGCCGACGTACAAAGTTCTTGATATTCTGCAGAAGGTGTTCTACAGATCAGATCCCGCGAGGGAGGCATTCGTCGAGATGTGCGCCGACGAGTACGTGCAGAGGATGACGTTTGATAGCTACTTGTACAAACGGGTCGTGCCCGGCAACCCGCTGGAGGATTTGAAGCTGGCTGTGAATACGATCGGGAGCCTTGTGAGGGCGAATGCGCTGAGGAAGGAGATGGAGAAGCTTAGCGTATGATTCAACGGGTCGGGTTGGGATCGGGATCCGGTTGGAGGATGGTGTGTTGTGTGATTTTGTGCTCTTTGTTTGTGGGAGGGATTTTATTTGAATTTGTACTGAGGAAAGATTTATATATATATGTTAATTAGACCCTACCTCTATGTATAAGATATTTATTTTTTGTTGTAATTGAATGGAAGCTTTTGTAAAACACAAAGCTGTGTTAATTAGAATTAATAATGGAATTCACTTTTCTAATCTTCAAGGGGACCATTTACCGCTTTAATGCACCCTCGCTGTATTCGTTGTAAGAACGAGCCATCGTGGATTTACGTGCAGAGGTTCGATGCCGCCACCATGGAGGTTCCCATCCCCACAAAAAAGTTGCACATTATCGCCCTGCCCTGAACTCAAGGTCTGAGGATGGGGGAGTTCTTCGACTCCATCTCGTAGAAAGCCTCAACTTGATTCAACGAGCTGCAGAAAAGAGTTAAAAAGTACATCGATATGGAGGAATCGGGCTCAGGATCTAGGACCCTCGGCGGATAAACGAAGAGATAATAAGCCAAAAAATAGAACTCCAAGAATGTAAACCCTGAGAAGCGCACATGCCCACAATTCGAAATGTACGCACCCCTCAACATCCATTAGTAGCTATCACGAATCATCTCTAAAGCTCAAATGGCCTCGTATTTACTCTGCAGTACGAAAGAGGCCACCAGCACAGTAGTCTATTGCCGTTTTGGTTTTCACAACGACCACAAACACTCTCTGACTAATGACAACGTCTATGTGACGAGATTGGGAGGCTAATCAGAGCAAAAAACCTACCGAAATTCGATTAGAAATGGCTGACATCAGGCCCCAAAGTGTCATAGACACATATCGATATTACCTTAGGTAGTCGTTGTTGACTAGACTCGCATGTTTTATTCATAGTCAAATTGCATATGTATGCAATAGCTTGGTTTTGAATAATATATTTATAATACACGTGAAATTGAGTTATAATTAATTTAGCAGGCTAATGATCAAAGGCTTGCATAACTGAAGTTTAATTGGGTCATAAATCAACATATAGGGGAGAGATAAAATCCCATGTTGTTACAGATAATGTATTGGTGGCTTATGAGATTAATCACTTCATTAAAACTAACTCTCGAAAACGCTCTAATCTTATGGCTATGAAGTTATTAGTAAAGCATATGATCGCATTGAGTGGTTTTTCTTGAGAAAGATTATGTGTAGGTTCGGTTTCCCTGTTGGTTTAATTGATCTGATTATGCTATGTGTTTCGACGGTTTCTTACGCGTGTTTGTTCAATGGGTCGCAGTGTGGTTCGATAGTCCCTTCGCGGGGCTTAGGCAAGGCGACCCCCTTTCGCCATATCTTTTCATTCTTTGTACAGAGGCGCTTATAGCAATGGTGCAACGGGAGAAGGAAAGCGGGCGATTGCAAGGATTCCGAGTAGCTCCGACCGCTCCAATGGTCTCGAGTTTGTGTTTCGAGGATGATACACTGATTTTTTGCCAAGCAAACGAGGATAATGCTGGGACAATCCAACAAATTCTTCTCCAATATGCACGTGTTTCTGGCCAGATGATTAACATGGAGAAATCGACAATTAGTTTATGTCCAGCTACACCACCGGAGACCCGCGAATCTATACATGCTATCTTGGGCTTCCAGGTTGTGGTAAGTGATGAAAAATATTTAGGGCTTCCGGCGGCTTTGGGGAAAATGCGCAAGGAGGTTTTCCAATACCTGAGAGATAGGATATGGGACTGATAAAGGGATCTCTAAGGCGGGGAAAGAAATCCTAATCAAGGCGGTCCTACAGGCAATCCCATCGTATGTTATGTCTTGCTTTCTACTGCCGATTGGTTTGGTTAAGGAGATTGAAGCCATTATGCGTCGTTTTTGGTGGGGGAATGGCATGGATAAAACGACGCATTGGGTTGCATGGAAGAAACTATGCAAACCGAAGGAAGATGGGGGCATGGGGTTTCGGGATCTTCGGAGTTTTAATCTCGCTCTGCTGGCGAAACGAGGCTGGCGACTTGTTACCAAGCCGGAGCTCTTACTGTCAAAGATTATGCAAGCTAGGTACTACCATAATGAGGATTTATGGGCTGCGGTTGTGGGCCATCGCCCGTCGGCCACATGGCGAGCCATTGTTGAGGCCCGCGGCCATTTGAAAGAAGGTGTTCGGATGCGAATTGGGGATGGTACGAATACATCGGTGTGGTGCGACCCGTGGATTCTCCATGATAACTACCCTAAGATTATCACTCCAATGCCCGTGCACTCGGCTTTCCCTAATTCGGTAGCGGACCTTATTGACAGAAATACGGGTTCATGGAAGACTGAGGTTCTTGATAATATTTTCTGGCCGGTGGACAAGCAACGCATTCTTACTACTCCTATTGGAGGTGCGGGAACGGCTGATCGAATTATATGGGGTTTCTCGAATTTGGGTAATTTTACGGTTAAAAGTTGCTATCATAACATAATGAGTCGCCACAGTTTGCGAGTTGGAGATGGCTCGGTCGGCTCAAATAGTGGATCGCACTCTTACAACTGGAAATAGCTTTGGAAACTCGACGTGCCACCAAAAATTCGGGTATTCTTATGGAGAGCATGCATGGAAGCTTTACCGTGTAAAGTTGAATTGTTTCGGCGGAGGATTGTCTCGGACCCGTTGTACGATATTTGTGGAATAGAATCCGATTCCTTGCCGCATATTTTCTTTCACTGTCATGGAGTTAGGCAGGTGTGGGAACATCTACCAATTTCTCTAACCACTAGCGACATGAATCCCTCGGTTTGGAGCTGGGTGAGCAGATTGGCTCGAGACCTTTCAGTAGAACAGTTTCACCTGGCTACAGTGGTTCTTTGGAGCTTTTGGGATTGCCGGAATAAGCTGTTGCATGGTGATGAATATCGGGCATTTGGGGAAATTGTGGGATGGAGCACCATGCACGTACATGGAATCATATCGTGAAGCTCGTTTGAGTCGTAGCGTCGTCGACAAGCGGTCCCAGGCCATCTTGTGGTCTCCACCACCAATAGGGGTGATTAAAGTTAACATTGACGCAACTTTTCCGCAAGGTAATGATCACTATTACACATCTGTGATTGCTAGAGATTCACAAGGTCAAAGTGTGTGGTGGCAGAATTTTCGGCACCTTGGTCGCGTGTTACCTGCCGAGGGGGAAGCTCGGGCTGTTTTGCAAGCTACTATTATGGCGTTAAGCTTCACATGGTCTGATATTATTATTGAGGGTGACTGTCTCCCACTGATCGATGCGCTTAATGGTCGAGGTTCTTCACTTACTTCATTCGGCGCTATTATTGAGGCGGTTTTAGCTCGCTCTTGTCTCTTCTTTTCTATTTCCTTTTCTTTTGTAAAGCGTTATGCCAATAAACTAGCTCACGAAATTGCTTCGCGTGATAATTAGGATTCATTGGAAGGTGTAACCCTCCGTCCGTTTCTGGCTATGAGTACCTCATATAATTGTGTTTTTCCCGTAAAAAAAAAAATAAAATCCTATGCTTGTTTTTATATGATAATGTTCCTAATTTAATTTGCCTTCTTAGTTAATGTGCTTAATTTGGTCTAATTGCACGGAACCCCCTGTGTAACTTCGAATGGCTAAAAAATTCACTGTGTTAAAAAATTTAGCAAAGACTTCCCTATATTTTATTTTGCTAAGCACACAGCCCCATACTTTGCAATTGAGTGTTGACTTACATGAAAAGACATACCTACCCCTAGTTAGAATAAAGCAAACACCCCAAACCCAAAAGCGTATACAGTACAAGAAAATCGAAGAAGAAGTTTGAAAAATCTTCCTTTGGTGGCGGTAGAGTTGAAGATGACTGGGGGTGTGCACGGGTCGGTACGGCTCGGTTTTTCTAATAAACCAAACACGTACCAATAATATCGGTTTTTCATATTTTTTAAACCGAATATGCCGGTTTTTTTGGGTTTGGTGTTCATCGGTTTTTTGGTTTTCGGTTAATGGTTTCGGTATCAATTCGGTTTATTTTCTGTGTCGATTTCGTCTATTTGTTCGAATGGGTTCCGCCTAAAACAGGTATATTTGGACTTTCATTATATTTATTTGAGAAAATTAACAAATAACAACCGAAAATTAACTAATAAAAAACATGTCACAATCCAAAATTAATTAATAGAAAAACATGTCACATGGAGGCTCTCGAAAGATAGAGGCACGCTAGGGTAAGTATTTATACTATATATCAAAAAGACATCATTTTGTATAAATTGGTTCGGTTCGGGAAATCGGTTTGGTAATTTTTTTATTCTCCATACACAAACCGATATTTTCGGTTCTGGAAAACAATTTACCGTATGTGCGGTTTTAAGTCGAAACGGTACATAACGGCTCGATTTTTTTGGTTTTTGGTTCGGTTTTTCGGTTTCTCGGTTTTTTTCTCACACCTAAAGATGACCACATCAAGAACTAAGAACAAAGGGAAGATAGCTTTTGTTAGTTTTGAGACAAATTTTTTAGTTCTTTAATTTCATGTGGCCTCTTTTGTTTAGTGAGAAAAATGGGAAAAGGAAAAAAATAAAAAACAAAAAAAGACTGATTTTTTTATGTGGGTTTTTTAATGATTTGGAGGATGAGAAGAGGCCCCGTACTCTAATGCTGGGTCTTACTCTTTGTTCAAAGAGTTGCTACTCTCTCTCTCCCCACACATACACACAAATATACAGTTTGTAATGGAATTGCAAATTAATTTCATTTTAGCTTTGCTTCAAAAACTTGTTGGGTGCTAAATACCAATACGCAAGTGTACGTATCGCAAACAAGTAGTAAAGTAGACTCGTGAGAGTCGGATGTCGATCCCACAGGGAATACGCAAATTATTTAATCATAAGTACCAAATCCTAACAATTGTGATTTTTATCCAGCCTACGCAGGGTTGTCAAATTAATTAACTAAATAACTTAAACTAATTAAGAACGCAAGTAATCACGAGAAAAAATCAATAATAAACGGATCTAGGATTTTATCTTCCCCCTATGCGATAATTCTTCACCCAATTAATTTCCTATCATGCAAGTTACGATTCCCGATTATTAACCCAAGACACGAAATTATTCATAACCAGCTGTCGCTGCGCTATAAACCTATTATTCATAAAAGATTCACTATATGTCTATGCAAACCTAGTATAAATAAAGCATTAAATAGCAAGTCTCGCAAACGGCTACCTAAGGTATT